ATTAGAGCCATACTGGCACTTCAGAGACGAACTTTTTATCGATTCTGCACGGTCTATTACTCATGCTAGACCGAATCCTCATTCTGTTAGAGATGAGTATATGGATCCTCGAAAGAATCCACGTTGGACGTTGTCACAAACAAGCAGAATGCAGTATTTTTAAAACAAATTCACCTATGTAAAGACTGTTCGGTGTCACCTTAATYGCATCATAATGTCAGTATCAGGGGTTTGCTCGAGTAGAAGCTGTATCGTATCTAGTGCCTTTATTGGGACTCCAATTAACTTTCTAAGTAACTCTACCTTTAAAAGCTAACTTTAGGACTTAAGGTGGCTTCCAACAGTTGTTTTTCGACCAAACCCCTCATTTTAAATTCCGCGCTTTTTAAAATCTTGCTATGTACTGATTTGTTTCGTGTTTGGAACAGTATTACCATTTTTAAAAGATCTTTGTTGGTTGTATTTTTCATATTTATACGTAGTTTGTTTTTTTTATTACCATTGACCAAAGTTTTGTTTGGCATAATATCTATCTCTATCAACGTYACCTAGGCAACGGAATTTGCATTTTGTCAAAATTCGTTTTTCTCAAATATCTCAAAAAATTGATGAGATACAGAAAAGCGGTAGACATCATCCTTAACTTCAAACTATTGCACAAAGTTTTGGAATAGTTGAAAACAAACTCATCTTTTCGATTTCGAGTAATATGCAAAAATCTTATACATTAGTATTTGTCAATATATTACTCGAACAGATGAATTTGTTTTTAACTATTCCAAGACGTTATGCAATAGTTTGAAGTTAATGATGGCGTCTACCGCTTTTTTGGATCTCATTTTTTTTTTAGATATTTGGGAAAAACGAATTTCGACAAAATGCAATATCCGTTGCCTAAGTAACATTGATAGAGCTAAATATTATGCCAAACAAAACTTTGGTCAATTCTTTAATACCGGTCCAAACACGAAACAAATCGGTGCATAGCAAGATTTTCAAAAAGCGAATTTAAAATGAGAGGTGTGGTCGAAAAACAACTGTAAGAAGCCACCTTAATTGTATCTTGTTTTATAGATATCGTTGTGAGTGGGTTGTTTACTTAGCTGTACGAGTGCTCGACATTGCCGAAATTATAAGCGAACTAATTTCTTGTCAGTCTCACAGAACCTATGTAATCATTGTTAATGGCTTTTTGAATGAGTACAACGTGTTCTGAAATGACATTAAGCATGCGAGAGCGTATATCGTTGGATACCTTGGCAAGCGTCATTTTGACTGGTGTATAGTTATAGTGGAGACAAAGAGAATGTATCTGATAAAATTCCATTTTCTAAGACTTTGCACGTGGCATGCGTACAGTAGAAATTTATACAGGTTTTGGGCAAGAGAGTTTTAGCATCACGTTAACGGCAAACGGCTAACGGCAGAGCTGAACCAATGACCTAAGAATTTCGTGCCCGACCTTGTGCTTTTGGAAGTCATTTGAAAGAGCGACTTTTCACGATTATGGCAACCTTAAAATAACCCGCTCTCGCGTTGAAACTGCAACGTTAAACTCAAAAAAAGCAGGTCACGTGATCTTTTCTGCCTTTTGGCGTTTGCCGT